TATATTATATATTTGTTTAATAGCAGCCATCTTTGGGGTGAGGGAGGGAAAAGGCAAAAAAAGCAATTTACATGATAACTTTATAGTATATTTAAAAGGAATAGCAAGTTATACATAATGTATTTGTAGTTTCATGTATAATCATATTTTATTATGCTATTTTATATAAATGCTTATTTTATTTCATAAATTAAAAATACTATATATATATATATATATTATATATATATATATAAAATTTTTAGGCAATTGGGGTTAAGTGACTTGCCCAGGGTCACACAGCTAGTAAGTGTCAAGTGTTTGATCTGAGGCCGCATTTGAACTCAGGTCTTCCTGACTCCAGGGCTGGTGCTCTATCCACTGTGCCACCTAGAATAAATATTTTTTTAAAAGAAAGAAATGAAGGTGAGAGGGAATAAGGTTCATAAAGAGGATGAAAACAAGATTTGATAGTAATAAGACACTGGGAAAGATGGAATGACAAAAGTTTGAGATAAAAAAAGGAAATAAGGATAATAGAAAGTTTCAGTTGATGAACAAGCAAATGGCACACTTGTGAGTAATCTTAATGTCAAGAATCATGGCCATTTCTGTGTGTAGCTGAGGATAAGATAATGGCAAATGAGTAGATTAAGGGACATTAAGGGATGCATGAAGCTATATATAAATTTCTCCTAATATGAAAAATGAAATAAAAAAAGAGAACCACTGTAATCCCTGAACGCTTTCCTTAGGAAGAAAGAGAATGTTCTGGGGTCAGGAGATGACAATCAGCAAGATTTGGTTTGGGTGATAAATGTGGATATCAGGAAGGTAAAAGTAAAAGTTGCTTAATAAAGGCAGTTGAGGGAGGATCTGGAAGTGGCGATGTTGAGCAAAGAGTATTCTGACTCCTATACCATGATAAGTAAATCAGGAGATACAAGAGAAGATACAGTCAGAACTGGAAAGGGTATCAAAGGAATCGGTGTTTTCAGGATGGATCCTTACCTCAGTGAAGGCTAGAAGATGAAATGAATCAGAAAGTAGTAAATTAAAGATAAAAAGAAGTTTGTTGATTACGGGACAGGAATTCAAGAGGGCACAATGGGAATTTCTATTAGACAGCTGCTGTTCAGAGATCTTTAAACTCTCAAATTCTATGGACACTGAAAACCAGGGAGAAGCATCAGAATCCAGCACAACTCACTGTTCAACTTGATTATTTATAATTGGTGACTAAATTGGTGTACTAACTTGTTCCTTTTCAATAAAGTATCCCTTCCAAAAATGTATCCTAGCCATGAGCCAGGTCCCACTAAGATCATGGCATGTCCAAAGTGCCTCCTTTATAGGTGGACAGATTCCCCTACAAGAAACAATTTTTCTTGCTAATTGTGCTGACCCTTTTTAGGTTTCATGAGAAATAAGAAAAAGTAATGATGACAATTAATAATAGCTATCATTTTATAGCCCTTTAAGATATACAACTTTGACATATTAGCCTATTAGAAGTTTTTACCTCACTTTAGGGAACAAGGCTGAGAGAGGATAATTAAATTGCCTAAATACAGTGAGTAAGTGGGTGAGGCAGAATCCAGCTCACATGTATCATCAATTCAAACATGGGCACAAATCTCAGTTGGCCAGCCCCAGCATATCTGGCAGACTGCACAGGTGTTACTTCTAGGGAAGCCCTGTCCTCAGACACCAAGAAATGACAGATTTCTCTTCCCTTTCAGCTCTACTCCTTTCTGAAGGACCTTCAATTCAACAACAGTGCTGGTGATCAGCTGTTTATGAATGAGAAAAGAAGCTCTGAGGCTCAATATGACATTAGGAACTATATGTCCGTTCATAATAATACTGAACTCCTGGTGGAAGTGTGTGAAATTATTCCCAAGGCTTGATCTGGTCAAGGTTTCACAGTGCGTGAGAAACCCATCAACAGGGATGGTTTGGTTCAAAGGTCAGAGGTTATCTGCATATCAATTTACATGTTCAGTAATAGGAACACATCTCACTCTAATTACCTCACTAAACTTTCCATATTTATGTATAGAAAATATCACTCAGCTTGTTTTACTTTTTTGCCTTTAAAACAAATTTTTAGATAAAAAAGGGGGGGAAAAGGCATGTTTTTCAAAACATAGTGATATTTAGCTTTGTAGGAGACAGAAGAGGAAAGGACTTTAAAAATCAACTTGTCTACCCCTTTTTTGATAGATAAGGAAACCGAGGTCCGAAAAGCTTTTAATTGCTCCAGGGCCCTGTGCCCCCAAAGCCATTGCTCTTATCCACTTCCCTGCATCTTCATGAATGGTGGCAAAACTTCCATTCAGTTCAATTGAGTTAACATAAAATTTTATTCAGCTACTGCCCAAAGTTTTCTTTCTATTGAAAGGGAAATTAGTATGACCTATATTTTTCCAATTTGGTCAAATATCTAAATGTCCTCTACTAGTCTGTGTCTCTACTCTAGCTCTTATAAATCTCCGAAGATTCTCAACCCAATGATTCCCACAATGATGAGTCAGTGTCTCTAGTGCAAGGCTACACCAGGGATAACCTGGAGGGGTCACGCTGATGTCTTCACTATAAGTTGCTTCAAGCTCCAATTTTTGGATGTTTACCCCAATATAAAGGACCAGGGATCAGTACTCCAGTATTGCTTAACTAATTAGCACCTATCAGTTTTTACAAAGGTATATTTACTGAGAAGGTATAGCAAAAAGAAAAGCGCAGGCATTTCTCCCTGCCCAGCACTTTGGAACACACTTCCCCTTATACCCGTTGCTTTACAGGGGACCCAAACTTAATAGTTTGTAAGAGAATTTACTCCGCTGAGGAGATTTCCAAAATCAGCCTCACTGCTGGACAAATAATCGCTTCCTATACTGTTGATCTTGGGTCTTGCTCCGGGGTGGGGAACCTGTGGCCTCGAGGTCACACGTGGCTCTCTCGGTCCTCAAGTGTGGCCCTTTGACTGAGTCCAAACTTCCCAGAACAAGTCCCTGTATTAAGGGGGTTAGACTTAAAAAGCCTGTGCCAATGACTGCCTTGTAAATGCATTCCCAGTTCTGGCTCAGCAGCCAGTCAAACAGTCCCTCATTTTCACATAACGAGGGGAGGACAAGCATTGGGAACATAAGGGGATACTTGTAATCGAAAACAGAATATTTTCATTACACAATATCACTCCTTTCTGGAAGCAAGTAGCCCAGCCTTTTCCGTGTGGACTGACTGCAGGCAAAGCGCAGTACTTTGCCTCTGGGTCTCATTGACCAGGTCACTATTCACTCCCACCCTACAAGCTTTTGGTCTTTGTGCATTAAAAATTTTAATGTAATTTTGGATGATTGCCAACCTTTCACTGAGCAACTTGGGTCATTAGCGATACAACGATCCAGTGTATATTTAGCAGTACAAAATGTAAGTGTTCTAAGATCACAGGGCCCAAAGCTCTCATTTTAGAAACATAAAACTTAAGCCCCCAAAGGTCAAGAGTTTCAGCCACAGTTCCACAGCTGGTTACAGAGACAGGACTAGAAAGGAGATCTCTTGAACATTCCATTAGTGATGTCAGCTGACATATGAACCACATATAATTATCAGAGTGGTTTTAGAGGACATACTTGTCTGGCCTGCACCATCCTTCATAAATATCCCTTAGTAAATGGTGTTCTTTCCATTCTCCTGTTAATGGCTTAGATCCCCTGTTCTGTGTGCAGTGACAGCTGCCACCCTGGTTACAGGAAGACAACTATGGAGGAACAGCCTGTCTGCTGCTTCAGCCATTCCTGGTGCCCAGAGGGGGAGATTTCCAGTGAAACTGGTAAGTGTCTATAAGGGGCTTCTTTTCTGGGTCCTTTAGTACAGAACAGTGTGGAGTTGAGCTTTTGGAGACATACACAACCCAAAGTAACATCACTGCCCGAGTAGGAGGATATGAACTGCAGGCTTTGGTTGTGCTTTGCTCTAGAAGAGGACCAAAATGGCATCTCTACATTACAGTCAAGTTATGGTGTGTCCGACCGTGCCTGATCAGACCAATACGAGCTCAAATGCTCTACCACAGCTAAGGCATGAATACTCCATGTGGACATTTGGGGTGGATTCTCTAAACTTATACATCTCTCATTTCTTTAGAGCTACTTCTATTCTGCTTTGCTTATAAAGCACAGCACCTTCTCTGAGGAGGACACACCATGCTGAGCAGTTCTGTGCCAGTATCTCCCATGTCATTCAATTGCTTCTAAAGTTCTTTGGAGAGACCTTGTGACTGTCATTGTGTTGCTCCTTCTGACCACCACGTGAGCACTCACCTTGTGTGGGTTCTGTATAAAATAGTCTCTTAGGCAAGTATATGTTTGGCATTTCAACAACATAGCCAGCCCAACAGGGTGGTGCTCTCTGTAGTAGAATTTGCATGCTTGCCAGTTTAGCTCAAGAAGGGACCTCAGTGTCTGGTACCTTATTCTGCCAGGTGATAGAATCTTTCTAAGACAATTCAAATTCAGTTTCCTAGCATGACACTTGTAGACTATCCAGGTTTCACAGGTGCACAGCAATGAGATCAGCACCACGGCTCTGTAGACCTTCAGTTTGGTAGGTAGACTAATACCTCTCCTCTCCCACACTTCCCTTTGGAGCCTCCCAAACACTGAGCTAGCTCTGGCAATGTGTGTGTCAACCTCATTATCAATGTGTGCATCCTGGGAGAGTACCCTGCCAAGGTAAGTGACCTCATCCACAATATTCAAAACTTCTCCCTTTGCTGTATCTGATGGTTCCACATCTGGACGGTGTTTTCTTGGTGTTGACTGTTAGGCCAACATTAGCACAAGCAGCAGAGAACTGGTCCATACTTTGTTGCATCTCAGCTTCAGAGGCTGTACTGAGTGCACAGTCATCTGCAAACAAACAAACAAACAAAAAAATGTACCAGCTTCCCCCCCCCCCTTAATCTTGGCTTGTTGCCTTTTCAAGTTAAATAATTTACTATCAGTGCCGTATCTGACCTTGATGCCACATTCATCCTCATTGAAGGCATCTGACAACATGGCTGAAAACATCAGGCTAAAAAGCACTGGAGCAGGCACACCACTTTGCTTCACTCCACTGGTGACTAGGAAAGTGTAAGAGCGCCATTCATTACCTAGAACCCAGGCAAGAATGCTGCTGTGAAACTGATGTACAATACTGATGAACTTCTCCAGGCAACCACATTTTGCCACAATTTTCCATCAGCCCTCATGATGGACAGTATCAAAAAACTTGTTTAGATTGATGAATGCTGTATACGGATCTCTGTTCTGTCCCTGGCATTTCTCCTGGAGCAGCAAACACCATATCGACACTTCCTCAGCCCTTTCTGAAGCCACACTGGCTCTCAGGTAGATGACCGTCTTTCAGGTGAAAGATCAGCCTATTAAGGAGGACTCTGGCAAGAATCTTGCCAGCAATGACTAAGAAAGAGACCCTGCCCCATGACTGTCACAGGATAATCTATTTCCTTTACCTATAGATAGACAATGGAGGTATCTTTGAACTCTTGGGGGATAACTTTCTCTTGCCATATAACCTGGAAAATTTCAGACAGCTTTTGTATAAGCAGTGGGTCCCTCATCTTGTAATCTCAGCTGGAATACAATCAGCACCAGATACTTTGACACAGGAGAGGTGCCTAATGGCATTTAAAACCTCTTCTTTAGTTGGAAATTTGGCTAGAGGCGGACTGATTTCAATCTGAGGTAAATGGTCATTTGCTTCAGCTGAGATGCACCATAGGTTTTGACCCATAAATAGCCTTCAGAGCATGCTAAAAGTGCTTTGAATTATCACTATCAACGAAACTGAATTTCATCTGCCTCATTGAGCCAAGAATCCTGCTTCTCTCTGAGCTTCACTTGTACTTTACTTTTGATGGGGATTTGTAAATGCTGCCTTCTTAGAGACCAATGAACTGTCCTGCTGGTAAACCCTATGGAGTTCTTAGTTTTCATTCAGCAGCTTCTGAATTTCTCCATCACCTTCATCCAACCAGTCTTGATGTTTGGGAGTGTTCTGACCCAGAGGAGTAAATGCGGTGATGTACATCAAATTTCCAAAAGCTGCCTGCTCCTTTTCTGCTCCACTGTTGCCAACTATTTGTTGACTCAGCTTTCTCTCCAAGGTTATCAATGAACTGTTCCCACTCAGAGAGGCATTCTAATCCTTTGATAGTAAGTCCTCTGGCAGCTGTCTTGCCTTGGGGCCACTGTTTTTGTTGAATGCAAATATTTAGCTCGGGCAAGTTGAAATATATACTTTGATCGGAATATATGTAGCAAAGACTGAAGAAGGAGTGGGGTGCATGATGTTTTGTTTGCAGCTATGTAAAAAAAATACCTAGCATCTCCATAGCACTATAAGGTTTGGGAAGCATTTTAGAAAAAGCATCTCTTTTTATCCTAACAACCCTAGGAGGTAGCTGGTTTTATTATCCCCATATTACAGATGGGAAAACTGAGGAAGAGGTGAAATGACTTGCCTAGAGTCACACAGCTAATAAGTGTCTGAGGCGGAATTTGAACTCAGGCCTTCCTGACTCCAGGCCTGGTGCTTTGTGAAACATACTATTAAACAGTAATAAAATCCCCTAAACTTGAGAAGATAGAAGCAAATGCAGATTCTCCCCCTCCCCTCAAAGGCACCTCTTTCTCTGAGCCTAGGAGACACACGACGGGAGGAAGGTGATTTCCTGGGGTCAGGATAAAGGCCTATGAAGCAGCTTACAACCAGAGCACCCCAGATGTCCAGACGCCAGGGGAGTTCCGAGATGCGACCGTCACACACATCACAAGCTGCAAGTCCTGGTCGTCCAAAATGGGAAAAGGAAGGGGACAGAGAGACACCTCAGAGTCAGTCCTCTCCCTTCTGGCTTGGGGAAAGTGTGGCCATGCTAAGAGCCACAAGGTGGCTCTGAGGATCTCTGAAGGATGCTCTGGAGTATGAAGGGAACAAGTCACAAAATGCGGCTGGACTTAGGAAGGAAAACAGTTCACTAGCGCTCTCCCACCCCGAGAGAACAGGAACCTTTCCTACATTCAGGGATCTCCACAGAACTTTTAGCAGAGGCTTGGAACTGAGGGAAGGCCGAGGGGTAGAGGGGAGGTGGGCAGGGCAGAGAGGCATCAAGCCTCCAGTTCCCAGCTGTATAAAGCAAATACCTTTAACCTGGAAATAGTTTGTCAAAAATAAACAAAAAAACCCCCGACTTTGGTTCCCCAAAGGATAACCTCTGGTCTCTGTGGGCCAAACAATAATGGCACAGCACGTGAGATACCCTAAACCATTTCAAGCTGGAACCAAAGGAGTCCAAAGTGCACATTCGGAGTCCCGGGGGAAGCTGGCCTTACCCAGGCACACCAGGTTGCTATAGTTCTCGAGCATCACCTCCCTGTACAGATCCTTCTGGGAAGAGTTCAGGTGCTCCCACTCCTCCTGGATAATGTCTATGGCCACGTCCTTGAAGGTCACTGACTCCTGAAACACCAAATACACGTGTGCTAGCCCAGCCAGCAACCTTCACATGGGCCTGGGGGCAGGAGGAGTGGGCAGGACTCGAGAAGGATCTACGCCTTTACATTTGGGCTTCAGTGTTCCAAAGGCAGCGATACTGAATACCTTCTGTGTGTGACTCACTCTGCATTTTTTGAATCCTGCAACAAAGTAATTACAACTATGGCCTATTTGTGTAACCACTATTTTACAAACTGGTTTCTATTGCTGTCTTTTAAACATCAACAGAAATGTTGGGGAAAAGGTCCTTCTTGCTGACAGTTTGAAATCTCAGTTGATATGAGGCACTTCTCTCTGTAGCCAAGGACAGAAAATGCTTTGGACCACAGATCTGAGATAAATCTCAGAGAGGGACCATGAAAAGAGATAACTTCAGAGAGCTGAAGAGATTGTTTCCTGTTATGGTGGAAAAGTTGGAGAGGACATACAGAAAGCAGATGGAAACAGCTTTTCAGATGAAACTTTTTACCTTATTTTGAGAACAGAATTTTTGTGAAGAGAATTTACTTATCACCTTGAAACTAAGTGATAGAGGACTGTTTTCAAAAATGAAGGGAAATATTAGTTAAGTTATAGTGAAGGTTTGAGGTGACACTGCTCTGATCATCCCCACAGTAATTATTTATGTTTATTATTGATTTCACTTGTTAGTGAATATTACATATTCATTAATTTTAACACCCAGTTTTTACTATACAAAGAAATGAGTAATTACTTTTGGGAAAGTTGTTTCTCCAGTTTATTAAATAATGTATACCATATAATGAACTGAGGTGGGGGCTTCAGCTGATGAATGAATTAAAGAGAGGTGGCAAATTTCTGAGAAAAGATATCAAGATATACCCTGGGATTTCTCTAGAGTTTAGAAAAACAATTAGAAAATGAGGCAAGTGACTAATACATTGTTGGTGGAGTTGTGAAATGATCCAACCATTTTGGAGAACAATTTGGAACTATGCCCAAAGGGCTACAAAAATGTGCATACCCTTTGATCCAGCAACAGCACTTCTAGGACCATATCCCAAAGAAATCAAACAAATGGGAAGAGGACCCACATGTACAAAAATATTCATAGCAGCTCTTTTTGTGGTGACAAAGAATTGGAAATTGAGAGGATGCCCATCAATTGGGGAATGGCTGAGCAAGTTGTGGTATATGAATGTAATGGAATACTATTGTGCTATAAGGAATGATGAACAGGCTGACTTCAGAAAAACCTGGAAAGACTTATATGGTCTGATGCTGAGTGAAGTGAGCAGAATCAAGAGGACTTTATACACAATAACAGCCATGTTATGCAATGACTAATATTGTTAAACTGAATCCTTCTCAGCATTACAAGGATCTAAGACATCTCCAGAAGTGTCGGGATGGAAAATGCTGTCCACATCCAAAGAAAGAACCATGGAAGTCAAATCGCTATCATTTATTTTTACCTTCTGTTGAGTATTGTTTCATCTTTCTGATGGTTCCTCCTATTGGTTTTAATTTTTTACTTACAACTTCACTAATATGAAAATATGTTTAATAGGAATGTAAAGGCAAAGCCTATATCAGATTGTGTGCTGTCTTGGGGAGGGGGGAGGAGGAAGGGGGAGAAAAATTTTCAACTCAAAAGCATATGGAAGTGATTGTTGATCAATCAAAATTAATAAAATAAAAATAAATAAATAGCACCCTTTTTCATCTAAAAAAAAAAGAAAATGAGTCAAGTGGCTGGTGAAGGGGTCCCACACGAAGAACTGGTTGCTGCCTATACACTTTGCTACATTAATATTACAGTTTTTCATTTATAGAACAGCCTTATGAGTCACACAGTGAGGGAGTTATTTACCTCCAATTTAAAGAGGAGAAACCTGCTTCTGAGGAAGCCCAGCAAACATGCTCCTGACCGCACAGCTTATATATATCAGGGCACAGACTCTGCTCCTGGTTTTCTGAATCCCAGGCTAATGCTCTTTCTCCAATATCAAGCTGCTGCTCGTTCTATAACTCAAAATCATTCATGTACATCATCATGCCAGGGTAGCAGAACAGTTTTATAAGCTATCAGCCAGGCAATGAGCATTTAATTAGATATTTATTATTTGCCAGAGCATGTGCTAAATGTTGGGGTTACAAAGGAAGGATCTGACCTCCAGCAGCACCCAATGTACAAGATTAGACAATGGACTGGATACATGGGAGTGAGGTGTCAAGGATGACAGTGAGGGTGCGGGCCTGGATGACAAGGATGGTGGTAGCCTTCGCATTTTGGAAGGCTTTGGGAAGGAAAGGTAAGTTCTGTTTGGACATAGTGAGTTTCAGATGTACATCCAGTTTGAGATGTCTAAGAGTCAGCAGATGAGGCAAGACTGGTGTAGAATAACTGGACCCAAGGGAGTCAATGAGATCACTGAGTGAGATAGTATATGAAGAGGGCCCAGACAAAGTCTTGTCAGGCAACTAGACTTTGAGGGTGGGATCTGAATAGAGACTTAGCAAATAAGATTGACAAGAAGTGATCAGGCAAGTAGGAGAACTAGGAGAGTAGGGTCACACAAACCTAGAACAGAGGTAGTCTCCTAGAGGAATGACTATGTCAAAATCTACAGAAGGATCAAAGAAGATGAGGATTGAGAAAACAAACACCCATTAGATCTGACAATTAGCAATTAAAATAACTAGGACTGATGTAGTGCTTTAAGATTTGCAATGTGCCTTACATTTGTTATCTCATTTGACATGCAACCCCTCTGAGGTAGGTGTTATTAGTCCATCTTACAGATGAGGAAACTGAGTCTGGGAAAGGTTAAGGCACTTGTCCAAGGCCTCATAGAAACAGTAATAACAAATTATGAATCCAAGGACTAGTAAGACAGTTCAGGGATTTATGGATGCTTCCTATAAACATCCAACGTTCTCAAAGTCTAACCAGTCAGCCAACCACAAGAACAGGTCTTCTTCCTTGAGTCTACCACGTATCCTATCAATTGTATTAGCACACAAGTAGCTCTCTGAAAGGTTGGCAGGGGACTTGGGGTTGCAGGCACTATACTATCACCTTGCCAGGCCTTCCTCTATTAACTAGTACCTTACCTGTATTCAGAGGTACAGAGAAGTGGGAGGTCCTTCACATTTCCATGTAAGGGCTCATGACCACAGATCCAGAAGTTGCTCAATAGTTCAGTGTTTGGCAATTTGTAAATGAAAATGTATTGTGAATCCAAGGTCCCAAAGTTAATTGTGTCATTTCCTCTTTGCTTCCCTCTATCCTCTGACAGCTGGAGGAACTTAAGGGACTATTAAGGGACTAACAATGTCACAGCAACCTAGCCAGGTCATCTGAGCAGTAACCAAAGAACAAGTTAGATCTCAAGTGTAAAAAAAATCACCCATCGGGCAAAAGGACGGTGGGATCGTAAAGGACAAAAAGGACACAAATGGATAAAGATTTAAGTGGAACTTAAAATGAAAAGAAAGTAAGGTGAAATTTCATTACAGACTAAAACCTTTGATTCTCCACGTGACTCTATTTCGGTGGGAAGAATTTACAGAGCAAGAGGTTACACAATTAGGTAAGAGAAGTTGGAAGACAGATGGAAATGGATGATACATCTCCATCAAATCCATGTTGCAATAATGAAGGGATGGGGCTTCTAGTCTCTTAGCAGAATGGACCTGCTTAAGAGAATTCCCATGGTGCAAGAGGCTACTTTAACTGAGAGAACATTTTGCTTCCATGGGCAACATCCTATCCCAAGACAGGGGATATGTAAGGTAGTGGAATTGTTTGTTTGTTGTGTGTGTGTGTGTGTGTGTGTGTGTGTGTGTGTGTGAGAGAGAGAGAGAGAGAGAGAGAGAGAGAGAGAGAGAGAGAGAGAGAGAGAGAGAGGGAGACAAGGATGGACAGTGAATCCCAGATGAGATGGCATGGCCTTTGAAAGGAGACTGGTCATGGTGAGCACACAGGGCAATTTACCAAGCACATGCAGCTTCCCTTACGAATTTTTTCAAAAAAAATCATTTTTTAATCTTGTTCTGACATCACCCATATTTCTTGCTGAATGCCTTGGCAACTCCCTTTCAGAGAACCCCTATAATAAAGGAAGGAACATAAAGTTCAGTCAAATTAATTAACATATTGAAAAAATCTGATGTCATATGCAATGATCCACGCCCATGGATCCCCACTTCTATAAAAACTAGGGATATCTTATCTTTCTTTGGGACAAAGCTCAGTCATCAAACTTCTACAACATAGTTTAATGCTTGCTTTTTCCATTACATTATTGTATTCATCGTGTAAATTGTTTTCCTTATTTTGCTCAGTTCACTTTGCATCAGTCTAATTCTTCCCATGCTTCTCTGTATTCATCATTATGACCCATTAAAACACAACTTCATTAAAGTAGCACAATTTGTTTCACATTGCCCAATCAATGGGCACCACTGCTGTTTCTGGTTCTTTGTTATACATAATGACACTATTATTATTTTGGTGTTTATGGGGTCCTTTTGCCACTAACCTCATTGAGATATATGCTCAACAGCAGACTCTCTGGTATACGGGCATTTTAGTCACTTTCTTTGCATAATTCCAAACTGCCTTCCAGACTGGTTGTGCCAATTTATAGGTCTAAATACATCAACTGCTTTCATTTTTTGCCATTTTTGCCAACAGGTGTGAGGTAAAACCTCAGGGTATAGGCAGCTAGGTGGCACAATTACAGTGGATAGAGTGCTGGGCCTGGAGTCAGGAAGACTCATCTTCCTGAGCTCAGTTCTGGCCTCCAACACTTATTAGCTGTGTGACCCTGGGCAAGTCACTTCACCCTGTTTGCCTGTTTCCTCATCTATAAAATGAGTTGGAGAAGAAATCACTCCAGTATCTTTGCCAAGTAAACCCCAAATAAGGTCAGCGGTCACAGAGTAATACACAACTGAAACAACTCAATAACAACAGCAACACAACCTCAGGCTGGTTTTAATTTATATTTCCTTTATTATTGGTGATTTGGAGCATTCTTTCCTATGGCAGACAGCATTTTCTTTTTTTTTGGATAGGCAATGGGGTTAGGTGACTTGCCCAGGGTCACACAGCTAGTAAGTGTCAAGTGTCTGAGGCTGGATCTGAACTCAGGTCCTCTCGACTTCAGGGCTGGTGCTCTATCCACTGCATAACCTACCTGCCCCAGCATTTTTTAAAAGACCTGTTTCTTGGGAATTGGCTTTTGACTTATATGTTGGTTAGCTGTTGATGTTTGAATATCAAACTTACAAAGAGACAACTGATACGAAGATTTCCCCTCCCCTATTTTCCTCTCTTAACCTAAAGACAATTTTATTTATGCAAAAGTTTTTCAAATTCATGTAAACAAAATGAGCTAACATAAATAACCATCTATTCCTTGTTTAGTTAAGAATCCAGCTCTGGGTCATTGCTATGACAGGCATATGAACTGCTGTTCCTTCTATATTAAATATTTAGTTCATGGAGACATTTTGATGAAATACAGTGTAAGATGATGGTTTAGTTTCTGCCAGAATCCTCTTCAACTTCCCCAGAAGTTCTTACCAAATAGGAGTCTTTTCTAGCTAATGTGTTTGGGAGATCATTAAACATATTGCTGAGTTCCATTATTTATTTTTTTTCCTTGTCCAGTCTTTTCCATTGATTTCCTTTCCTTTTATTGTTTCTAAACTAATACAAAATGGCTTTTTATGATTACTGCTTTATGACAGTTTTGAGGTAGGGAAGTGTATTCCTGCTTCATTTCTACCCTTTTTTTCAAGATTTCCCTTGAATGCTCTAGCAACTTATTTTTATTTTTGCCCCAATGTTTTCTTTTTACATCACCCACATTTCTACCTGTATCCCTCCCCTTCCCCCATTATCCTTTCTAATAAAGTTTTTTTTTTTTTAGAATCAGGCTTATATTCTTGGTTTCCACAATGAGTTTGGTGTGTTTCTATACAAAATTGTGTCCCTATAGTTCAACCCTGTTTCCAATTCAGACAAAAATTGGGCCATAACAAGTCCCACCCTCCCCCCATCCTATCCCTCTTTTTATATTCTTATTTCTCCCTTATATTTTTTTCTGTCATCTCTTAAAACCCACAAAACAAACAATAAACAACAAAACCCAATCCCAATACCACTTGCCCCCCCCCCTTTTTTCTTTTTCTTATCTGTGACCCCAGAAGGCTTTAGGATTCTGAAAGGTCATCCTGTCTTCTCTCAATTTGAACATAAGCATTTCATCTCCATTTAGTTACTTCAACTTTCAAGTGTATTTACCTTTCTAGACTTGTCTTGACTCCAGATACCTTCTATTCTACTAACAACTGATGTCTTCCCTTGTAGAATAAAGCTGTTTTTCAGTGTAAGTTACCTGCAATTGTAAATTTTTTATCTTTTGGAATATCATAGTTCAATATTTAATGGTATTATAGTTTCATGTGATATTTGCCTCTGATACACAGACCTGGGCAGTTTTCTTTCGTGATTTCTTGGAATATAGTTCACAGGATCTTTGTTTGGACAGTCTTCAGGAAACTAAATGATTCTTAAATTCTCTCATCTTGACCTATTTTCCAGGTCAGTTATTTCTGATTGTAGATACTTTCCATATTTTCCTTTTCTCTGTCTTTTTAATATATCTTGCTGTCTCATGTACTGATTGAGCTGTTTCTTCCATTCTGTTTTGCAGGGAATCTCCCACTTCAATTGTTTTTTTCACTTTCTGTTCTAAGCTAATCTCCTTTCACAGTGCTTGTCTGAGCTATTCTTGTCTTTGGTTGTGGCTTCCAGTGCTTTAAGGAGTGCATAGCAAGCCAGTTTTCCTGTTTAGTAATATATGGTGTCTATTTCTATCCACTGCTTCTGTTCTGATATGTAGGGCTGATATACTGCTGGCTTCAGGCCTCCAATTACTAGATGTCCCTAAAATGGCTTATTCTCCCTCTGATGTGTCCTTGCAGAATACCCACAGGCTTCCGGCACTGGTATAGGAGACCACGCTGGCTTCCCTGGTCAACTTCTCTATCCTCACTTCCAGTCTTCCAGCCACATTTTAGTACAGGCTTAGCCAACGACGATGACATTGCAGCTACTTCTCATTGATTTTCTCAATCATTCCATCTGGTGCCATTTTAAAATCATTGCTGCTGTGTATGTGGGAGCTGGGCTCTTCTATCTTTCACTTGGTCACCTTAAGTAAGTCTTCTGAAAATGCTAAAAATTACCTTATAGGATAGGGTTTGCATTGAAGTTACAAATTAAGAAAGGTTTATTAAATGGAAAGAGAAAACCAGCCAAAGATTATTTGACATGAGATCATAACAGTATTATATAGCTTCAAGAACTTCCAGGATGAGATAGATACTTCGAATCACAAAAATTCAAAGAGCAGTTTTAAGAGAACAGGCTTAATGTTGTCAAGTCATAAAAGTTTCAGTATTTTATAATGCTTTATTAGTTCACTATCATTTGCATGTAGAATATTTTGTTTTCAATCAACAGCAGATTTAAAATGCAAAGGCTTATTACATTTGAATTAAATTGTATGCAGTAATTATTTTCAGCAGCTGTAATTTGTGGCTAATATTTTGCCTTCAAAATTGGCACTGATCAATTTTCAACGAGCAGATTTGATGAATGACATGTCTCATCAAATCTGTAAATGAAACAAATCAAGGAGGGAAACATAAGACAGGATGGCAGAGTCAGGAACCAAAAAGGCCTTGTAAAGATAGATCATTGGGTCATATTTACTAAAATGGAATTAAACTGACATAAATATAAAGTCTTATGCTTGGATTAAAAAAAATCTATTTCCCGAAACAAAATGGAAAAGGCATGGTTGAATAGCAGTTTATGAAAAAAAAAAAAGGAATTTTAGGAACTTTGGAATTTGAATAGACTGTAAGTTCAAAATGAGTGAGCAGTGTGATTTAGAAATTGTAAAAGCTTATCTTGAATCACATTAAGAGTAATAGCTCAGAGAAATAAGAAATCAGTTCTATACTCAAGTCCCAGCTGAAACACATGTGGAATACTCAATTCACATCTCAGTGCCACAGCTTTGGGAGAACATTGTAAAGATGGAGAGCATCCAGAGGTGGTAAAATCATGAGGGTGATGAGACTTTAGCCAATGTTATATGCAGAAGGCTTAAAATAACTTAGGATATTTATCTTGGAGATGGTTTTGGACTGGCCTACTATACTATCTCTGTTAAAATATTTGAAAGATGTACTGTGCATGGTTGATTATTTGTTCTGGCTTGCAAGGACTGACTCAGAAGCAATGGGTTCATTTTGTAAAGATGAGAATTTAACCTTACTGCAGGAAAAGATGATCTTACAATGAGAGCTGTTCAAAAGTGGAATGGTAAACCACAATATATCATGAGTTCCCCTATAAGCTATCAAGGAGACTAGACAACCACTCATCAGGAACGTCATAGTGGTGAGTTCTTTTAGATACAGGTTGGATGAGATGGCTGCTGAGATCTCTTCCAACTCTAAAATTTTCTAATTCTGAATCCTGACTTACTTAACCTTCCTAAGCTTTAACTTAGTAAGTTCTTTTCTCCAGTATGAATTCTCTGACGTAAAATTAAGTTGAATTTTCTGATTAAAGACATTAACATGTTCATTACATTTCTAATACTTTCCTCCAGTAAGATTTCAATAATACTGAATAAGGATTATTCTCTGGCCAAAGGCCTTGCCATATTCATTGCACTGATAAGGTTTTTCTCTGGCATTAATTTTCTGATGTTCTGACTTAAGAACTTCCCATATTCATTAAATTCATAAGATTTTTCTCTCCAATATGAATTTTCTGATGTTGATTAAGTCCTGATTTCTGGCAGAAGGTCTTCCCACATTCACTGCATTCATAAGGTTTTTCTCTAGTATGAATTCTCTGATGTTGAGTAAGTAGTCTTTTGCAGCGGAAGGCTTTTGGACATTCACTGCATTCAAAAGGTCTTTCTCCAGTATGAATTCTCTGATGTTCAGTCAGGTATGTGCTGCGACTGAAGTCTCTTCCACATTCATTACATTCATATGGTTTCTCTCCAGTGTGAATTCTCTGATGTTGAGCAAGTTGTATTCTATGGCAGAAGGCCTTCCCACATTCATGACATTCAAAAGGTTTTTCTCCAGTATGAATTACCAGATGTCGAGTAAGTTGCTCTCCCCTGCGGAAGGCCTTCCCACATTCCTGACATTCATAAGGTTTCTCTCCGGTATGAATTCTCTGATGCAGAATAAGGTGTATTTTCTGGTTGAACTTTTTCCCACATTCATTACATTCAAAAGGTTTTTCTCCAGTATGAATTTTCTGATGTTGAGTAAGGTGAATTCTCTGGTTGAAGGCCTTCCCACATTCGTTGCATTCATGAGGTTTTTCTCCAGTATGAATTCGTCGATGCAAAGCAAGTCTTGAATTCCAAGCAAAGACCTTCCCACACTCAATACATTCATAAAAAGTCCCTTCAGAATGAACTCTCTGATTCTGTGTATATTCTGTTCCCTGGTGGAAGGCTTTCCCATATTCATTACATTCGTAAATTTTCTTTCCAGCACGAATTTTCTGACCTTCATCAAGTCCTGAAATACATTCATTATGTTTACGACTTTTCTCTCTTAGATGGATTGTCTGAGGAATAGAAAGGGATGAGCTCTGATTGAAAGCTCTTTCGCATTCTTTGTATTGGTAAGGTTTCTCATCAACATGTTTTCTATTGGCCTCATTAAGGCCAGAATTGTGATTGAAGAATTTCTCACATTTATTAGGCTTCCAAAATGTCTTCCTTGAGTAAATTTTATTACACTTATTTGGGTCTGAACACACTCTGAAGATCTTTCTTTGAGTATCACATTGATGAGAATGCTCTCCCAGAGAAACTCTTTGCTGTTGAAAAAGGACGGAAGATGGACTTAGGCTTCTGTCGTATCTGTAACATTCAGGACCTCTCACATTACTGGAAGTTTTGCTCCTAGAGATTTTTATCGTCTTAGCATATTTCTCCTTATTGTTTTCTTGCTTCCCTAAACTGGAAGAACATTGCCAAACTCCTCTGAACTGGGAGATACAAGAAAAATGCTTTGTGAGTCCTTCTGGGAATGATTCTCTTAAAGAAATATCCAGCTTTATGGTTGATCCCTTGGTTTCAGTCCCAGTCTCACAATCTGAAAGGAATAAAAAGTGTCATTATCCCTTGTTCATGCTGCTCTACATTTAATCTTATTTTATGTCTCTTCAATTAAGAAGAAAAAGCTTTCAAAGCGTACAGGGTAGAATAAATATTAGCACCTTATCTTAAAGTTCCACCTATGTGCCAAGCACTAAATTGGGTGCTGTGGGTACAGAGACAAAGAGGAAACAACAGCTCTTTAAGAAGCTTATGTTCTACTGGGGAAAACAACATGACCATGTAAATACAGAGAATATTTTCAAAATGCAAGGGAATCTGGTGGGGGGAGGAGGGGAAGGAAAGAATTATCATTAGCTGTGGAGTAGTGGCCCTGTAGGAGGCAGTGACCAGTTTGGCTAGGCTATAGAGTTCATAGAGATATGGATAACCTTGGAATGGTGTGGTGGAGCTTGGCTCATTTAGATCTCGTCCTTTAACTGCGGGTGTCTCTTGGGGTTCCTCGGCCTTCTCCTCTTCTCCCTCTATACCACTTTACTTGCTGATCCCATTAGCTCCCATGAACTTAATTATCATCTCTGGTGATGATTCGCAAATTTACTTATCCTGCCCTTATCTCTCGGCTGACCTTCAATCTTGCATCTCCAACCACCTTTCAGATATCTCAAACTGGATGTCCAGTAGACATCTTAAACTCAACATACCCTAAACACAACTCATCATCTGTCCCCCTAAACCTTCCCTCTTCTTAACTTCCCTATCACTATAGAGGACAACACTAATCCTCCCAGTCCCTTAGGCTCACTACTTAGGTGTCATCCTGGACTCCTCACTATCTCTCACCCCTCATATCCAACCTGTTGCTAAGGCCTATGTATTTCACCTTTGCAACATCACTCAAATACACCCCTTTCTCTCCTTTGACACTGCCACCACTCAAGGGCAGGTCCTTATCACCTCTAGCCTGGAGTATTATAATTGCTTATTGGGTAAGGGTCTGCCTTACTCAAGTCTTTCCCCAATCCAATCTATCTTCTATTCAGCTACCAAATTGATCTTTCAGTCACACATACCCCTTCTCCCACTAAATAAACTCCAGTGGCTTCCAAATTGCCTCCAAGATCAAATAGAAAATCCTATTCAAGTCTCTTCATAACTTAGCTCCTTTCTACTTTATTCTAGCCTTCTTACACCTGACCTTGCCACAGGCTCTTCTATCTAGTGACAATGGCTTTCTGGCTATTCTGGTGAATAAAACACTCTATCCTGTGGCTCCAGGCATTTTCTCTGATTATTTCCCATACTTGGAATGCTCTCTCTCCTCATCTAGCTACTGGCTTCCTTGAAACCTTAACCAAAATTCCATCTTCTAGAAGAAGCCTTCTTCTAACCCATTAGTCCTAGCACCACCCCTCTGCTAATTACTCCCTATTCATCCTCTATATAGCTTGTTTGTACATCTTTGTTTGCATGTCATCTCCCCCATAAGACTGTGAGCTCCTTGAGGACAGGGACTGTAGTTTGCCTTTTTGGGTATCCCTAGCACTTAGCCCAGTGCCTGGCACACAGAAGATGCTTAACAAATGTTTACTGACTACTGAATCCAGGTTGTAAAAGGCTTTTAACTGCAAGCAGCAGAGTTTGCACCATAGGCTAGAAGTAAAATAGGGAATCGCCAGAGCTTACTGAGAAGATGCGGTCTGACATACTCTTTAAGAACGTCACTTAGGAAGCTATATAGATGCAGGCCAAAAGAGAGAGGTCAGAGACTTGACGCAGGTCAATTAACTAGGAATCTACTGTAATAGGCCAGGGGAGATATGCTGATGGCCACATGGGCGAAAAAAAAAACTGGATAGATACAAGAAATATTGTGGGAGTTGAATAGACAAGACAGCAACGATTGGTATGTAGAAGAAAAAACAAACATTTGTTTTTGTAATTTTTTTTTACAAAAAAGTGCTTTAAAATTTTTTCTTATTTGATTATCTCAACCATTTTGTAAGGTGGGTCCCATTATTGTCCCCACTTTACAGTTGAGGAAACTGAGGCAAGCAGAGGTTAAGTGACTTGCCCAGAGTCACAGAAGCTGTCTCAAATGTCATGAGGCTATATTTGAACTCAGTTCTTCCTGATTCCAGGCCCAGGGTTCTACCCACTGCTAAAGACAAGACTAAACAGGTAAAGATAAGTCTGAGGCTATGAATGTGGAAGATTGTAAGGCTGGTGATATGGTCAAAAGAAACAGAAGCATGCAGAAGAAGAATGGGTTTGGGGAAAATACCACTAGGCCTATTACTTGTATTTCAAAAAATCTTTCACACTGACAGTCAAACACAATGTGTATAAAGTGTTTAATGATTATCTTTTCAAATGAGGAAACTGAAGCCTAAGGGATACAGTGACTTGGCCAAGGCTGCATTGGTACTAATGTCAAAACTGGGACTTGAAGCAGCACCTTCCAACTCCAAGCCATGGTTATCTTCACACCAATGCACTGCCGAACAATCCTAACAACAGGAGATTGCCCTTGCATATCAGTGTTAAGGTTTGCAAAGTGCTTCACGTGTCATCTCATGTGAACCTCACCATGATCCTATGAATTAGGGCCTGACTGTTACCAATTTAGAGAGGAGGAAAATTAGCTTAGATAAGGCTAAGTGACTTGCCCAGAGTCACACACACTCAGTGAATGAGTGAGGCAGGATGTGAAGGTGGGGCTATCCTTCTAGGTCCAAGTCTACACTCTATTTTGCCACCTAGCTGCTTCCACAATAAAAAAAGAATAAACTTGAAGATGACTACAAGTAAACTACTGGATGCAGTTATAAGAGGGACGAATGAGTGTAAGATTCAGGGATGCTCTGTTCAGTTTAACAGAAAGAAGGAATACCGTGCATCAGGAGATGCACAAAATCAGAAGGCTTGCCTCATAGAATCAACGTCAGGACTAGAAGACACTCAAGAACTCATCTTGATCAATTTCCTCATTTTACAGTTGAGGAAATTAAGGAGAAAAGTGGTGAAATGGCTTCCCCTATGTCACACGCCCAAGTCCCAACTAAAATCCCGTCTTCTATAGGAAGCCGTCCTAATTCTAGTACCTGTTCTATTCACTATTTGTTCTGTACGTCATTTGTTTGCTATCTCCCCTCCCCCCTTTCCAAATTAGACTGCAAGCTTCTTTGCCTCTTTTTACACCCCTGGCACAGCACAGTGCCTGGCACACAGACGGTGCTTAATAAATGTTACTGACTGACTTACAAGTAGAGCTAAGACTTAAGTGTGCATCTTCTACATTCATCCTAGTGTTGTCGGTGTTTCTGTTGTTGCTGCGGCCCCTAATGCTGCCTCCTCACGACAGACGACATTCCTCAAAGTGAGGACCAGAATTAGTAATGCAGAGACTGGTGACCATTAGGGACAACAGAGAGGATCCCTGTATTAGGTGGATGGCCTTGACACTCGGTTTCCTTTCAAGTCTATGGTTCTGATCTTTATTCTCCTTGGTTCTTATAGATGAATTCCTAAGGAAAAAGCAGAGTGAGACTGATCCATTCTTTATCTTTTCCTCCCTTCCCTAAGGCCTCTGTCATTATTTCAGTTTCTAAACTGTATGCTTTCTGATCATTTGGATGGGCCAAGTCCCATCTGTGTATATAATAGGAAACTCACAGATGGCACATAAAGGCACAATGTCAGAAATTTAATAGATTTAAAGAGATCCTAAATAAGGATATTTTATTTTGAATTACTACAATAACAGAATGACCACTGGAATGACAAATAAGACCAGTGGGTAGCTCTGACACCTCAACGGAATACTATCAATGGATATCTGAATGGAAACAATCAATCAACTAAAGAGAACACTTAACACATACAAAATACGGTTTGATAATTTTGCCATTCAGCCTTGCAGTAAGAGGTGAACACAGGAAGAATGAAGGCCAAAAACAAACAAACCAACAAAAAATTAAACAAGAATTAATCTAGAAGGGAATGAAGAACAACGAGGTCATGAGGGAATTGATTAGTCAAAAGGAATGAGGACAGGAGCAAATACTGAACAGTAGCTGAGGCTGTGCATAGAAAGAATGGGCTATCAAACTCCAGTCCTCCTCATAGCTCCTACTTGGGTCACTGCAACGAGTTTCTAAACCTTTCCAAGACATCTTCCTTCTATTTCTTCCACTACACGCTCATATCGATGCTCCCATTACACCAACTTGCTGCTGCACAAATTCACTGCCTCTGCACATTACCTATTTAACAAATTCAAAGTTCCTGATGTCTGTAGTCAGAGGTGCCACCCCTTGCCTGGTATGTTGGCCTCTGACCTCAGTCTCTCGAAAGGTTTTCATTCTTCCAAGACTTGTGGGGCGCCATCTCCCAAGTGAAGCCCATTGGTGGGGGCCTTCTCTAGGTGTCAGTCACTTCTTCCTCATCTGATTACCTTTGGCTGAGGACATGCGGTGCAATGTAAAATTCCTGAGAGCAACGACTGTTTAGGAATGGGGTACAAGCTCATAAGGCTCAGGACACAAGAAGGGACTTTTAAAGGTCATCTAGTTCAACTGTTTCTTTTTACAAATGAGGAAAATGTGGCTTAGAAAGCATAAATGGTTTGCCCAAAATAAGAGACGGAACAAAGAACAGACTAGATTTGAATCCAGGTCCTCCAACTACAAATCCTGAGCCCTGTCTGCTGTAACAGGCTGCCTGTCAAGTAAAAGACAGAAAGCTGGTCTGGAAGTCAGCAAAACCTGTCTCTGATAAATACTAGTGATATGACCCTGGGCAAGATACTGACTGTCTCAGGCCTCAGGCATGTCTAAGTAAGAAGGGAGTTGTCAATCTGTGTTGGCTGAGGAAGTTTCCACACTAAGATTTCCCCCACTCAGGAAATCACCAATCAAATCTGGATCAAGAAAAAGTAAATCCTCAGAAGTTACATATTTCCTTGTTATATATAACACACACTTCAGTCTTTAAAAATGCAAATATTCCCATAGTTCCCCAAAAGCACTTCCTTCA